TGGAGACTGAGCCTGCAACCTGGGCATGTGCCCTTGACCGAAATGGAACCCAGGACCCTTTAGACCGCAGGCCAACACTCTACCCACTGAGCCAAACCAGCTAGGATGGAAATGAATAGCTTTCTTAAAAGTATGTCTTTAGCCCAGCCAGCTTGGCTCAGTGGTTGAGCATCAACCCATGAACCAGGAGGTCACGGTTCGATTCCCAGTCAGGGCAAATTCCCAGCTTGTGTGGCCAAACACATATTTTAAAAAGTTAGATCTTGCAGGAGGCAGCCAATCAAGGATTCTCTCTCATCACTGATGTTTCTCTCTCTCTCTGTCTCTCTCTGTCTCTCTCTCTGTGTCTCTCTCTCTCTCTCTCTCTTCCTCTCTGAAATCAATAAAAATATTTTTTAAAGTATGTCTTTAAAACTTTTTTTCACTTATTACAATGGATACCTATTATTTTGTAAGTTAAGATGATAGATGAAAAAACAAAAAACCCTCAGCACTATAAAAGTAGATTATTCAAACACTAAGAGAGCGTCAGTAACAAATCAATGAACTATCAACATATTTCCATTTCAGGGTGGGGGGAAAGTCTGAAGTTCTCAATTCACTATTAGTTTCCTTAGCATAATAAATTACATAATAGACATTCAAAAGAAAAAAAGGTGGCAGGAAGAGTAGATTTCTTTGCTGTCTGCTGGAAGCTTTTGCATAAGAAAAAGTCTGAGTAAATCAAAAAGAGTAAAGGATAATATTTCAGAATTAAACAAATAATTTTCAAAGACGTGAAGATAAAGTTTTGTATATATTTTCTACACCTGAAAATCAACTGCAATGACATCAACTCTATCAGTCACAAGTGAATGACCTGCAGTAGATTCGCATAATTAACTCAGCACCCTGACAGCTTTTGGCTCTAGCACCGACCAATTACCATATGGCTGAGCACCTGAACAATTTTTTTCATATTATTTTCATTCATATAAACTATTCCACAGAGTAGCTACTAAGTGTCAGGCACTGTGCTATGTACTAGGAATACTACAAATTAGATGGTTCTTATCTTCTGAAGATATAGGGAAAGTAGACAATAAGTACTAAAAAAGGCCTGCACCTCTTTGCCTAGGGGTATAGAGAGAAGGAAGAACAGGTTCACTGGTGGAGGGAGAAAGATTCCAGGTATAGGAAGAACAGGTATAAGGAGAATGAAAGAACATGGAGTATTCAAGGAACAGTAAAAACTTCGGTATATGTAAATAAAAATAATACAACTAGATGCTAATAAAATCAGATTGTAAGCTACTTCCTCATTCTACTTTCTAAAATAATCAAAATTTATTAAGCTTTCATCATGGAAAGTTTCTAAAAAAAAATACAGAGGTCAAGCATTAACTGGAAGAGATACCCATTTATAAAACACCACATATATTGGGTACTATCAGAAAAAAAGGTTCTTTCCTCTTACAATACTTTCCTTCAATGATCATACAAAAAAACCTAATACCAGCAAAGATTCAATTACTCTACACAATGTGCCTACTTATTTTCAGTTAGTTTCAGCATTCATCCAAACCAGTATTTTGACCATATTTTTAAAGTATCATGTTTTCAAAATTTTCATAAAGTGAGAAAGGAACCAAATCTTTTGTGCAGACTTCTAAAAAGGAATAAAAAATTATCTTCCCTTCCTTTTCTTCAGCTTAAAACTGAACAATTTCCCAATAGTGAGGTTTAGTAAATAGTTTCACTAAATTGAGCTGTAAAGGCACTAATGGAACTTCTTTTACTTTGAGGTGTACAACTGTGTGGTCATTTACAAGTTAGATCTTATAACCAAATACTGTATATCTATTCTTCGGCAGTCTTTATTTTAACCCAAAGGCTTGTGAAAAGGGATGTGCAAAAATTCTACAGTTCCAAAGATTTAAGTTCATGTCTTTCTCATATTTACTCTTCCCAAGAATCCATAACATTAACCGCAAAGCCAGACAAGCTGAAAAGCCAAGGGTGGTTGGTACAATGAAAATATAGTCAGCTACAACAAGCAAGCTGGAGTGAGCAAAGCAACTTTATATCAGGTTACACAGTGACTGTCACTCTGTAACAACAGAGAAAGGGGGGTAAAAACTACTTGCCTTTAAGATGTCTTTAAATATTCATAAAGTACAAAAGTCACAAATATCTTCTCCACCTTCTAAAAAACTAATTTTTTTCCTTTTAAGTCTATTTTTCACTGACATTTATAACTTATTAATAATTTTCTCATTCCAGTGGTTTAAGTGGGCCAAAACACACACACACACACACACACACACAAACACACACACAAAACTTCTAAGTACCTTGTGATAAAAAAGCATTTCTCGTTTCAATCACGTTATCCTAAACCTTGCACTTTTACACAAATGTTAGTTGATGCTGAGTCAAGTTTGGCAAGTATGTTTTTTATTTATTTATTTACTTACTTCAGGGCCCTTCAAACATGGATATGACTGTTCTAGTAACCAGAATTCATACCAAATTCAGTGTGTTGTGCTACTCCTTCAGTGAAGAAAAAAATCTTACACTACAAATATTTTAAAGACAGAAATGACTGCCTTTACAAAAAAATAATATTTTCTATGCAAAAAGGCAAATGAAAATATTCTGCTGTTTGACAAAGATGATTTTCAAATCCTATAAGCTAAGAAATATAAGAACTTAGATAAATCTACATATTCTCCTAATTTTAAAATTGCTTACTACTTTAAATATTAACCTGAATGAAAGAAACTGAATAAACTTAACAAAGGGATGAAAGAAAGCAAATAAAGATTGAATCACAAACACCAAAAACAGCTAAACAAGTTGTTGGAGTTTGAAGAAAAGTTATTGTAGATTTTCTGACACTAAACCCAATAATAATTAAAAATTTTTTATATCAATTAAGTCCCTCTGTATACACAAAACTTTTAAATCCTCATCAAATAGGAATTAAGCATTTCAAAAATCTGTTTTGGTAAGTAGCTTCCAAATTCAATTTTTTAATTAAAAATAATCTTTTGAGCCCTAGCCAATTTTCTCAGTGGATAGAGCATGAGTACTGAAGGATCCGGTCAGTTTTTAAAATTAGGAGAACATGTAGATTTATCTATGCTCTTATATTCAATCCTGGGCAAAGGTACATCCTTGGTTTCAGGCTCAATCCCCCCCTGATTAGGGGGGGAGGGGGTGTGTGGGAGGCAACCAATTGTTTCTCTCTGAGACTTCCTCTCCCTTCAGCTCTCTCTAAAAAAATCAATGGGAAAATATCCTCAGGTAAGAATTAACAAAAAAAAAAAAACCTTTTGAAAAATACTTGTTCAACTTTTTCAATTGGTATAGAAAGTTTTCATAAATCACAAAAACCCAGGTTTTTGTTTCAGTACACCATTGATTTCATTCAAGACTACTTTAAAAAATAAACAGAAGGTCACCAAAGGTTTTGCTGGCTATTTTTATACTTTATAGTTTCACTCTCAAATCTAGAGCTTGCTGTCAATGAAACAGACCAAAGAACTGCTCCCAAAAGAAAATGAATTAAGGTTTCCTGAACAATAATTTAAAGTATAATCCCGACACGGTTAGACAAAGCAGACATTCAAGTCTGTCTGTTCTGATCAATCAACAGTGCACTAAACACCATTTTGCTTATAATTTGTAAGACAAAAAGACACTTTCTTCAGTTGAATGCAAAACATTTAAATACCAGTACAGTGTGCCACAAAATGAACTGAGTTAAATAACACCTATCTAATAGCTCTTCCAATACCTTGTTTTAAACCTATAACTCAGAGATGAAACATTTCAGTAGCAACTACAAGGACATATTTAGTAAATGAGTGAGTATTCCACAATGTTTGGTATTTGACAGTTGCTTTAAATCAGAGGTGGGGAACCTTTATTCTGCCAAGGGCCATTTGGATATTTATAACATCTTTCGCTTTAATTTAATTAATTTAATATAAATTTATATTGCTATGAAAAAAAGCTCCTAGATTTATTGCATTTCGAGCCCTGCCTGCGGTTGCCTTGGCAGGGACAGACCAAATGAAGGGCCAGAAGTTCCCCACCCCTGCTTTAAACCAAAAATAAATAAATAACTCCATAGCTTCAGAGTAAATACACAAATAGTAACTAAGATATTTTTTTTAAAGTCTCCTTAAAACAAATAAGAACACTGACTATTTATAATGAAAACATTCAGTCTTCTACTGAGACATCATATGACCAGTACAGGAATGTACTACCTGATAACTTGACGATAAGAAAAATGCATTTGTACATGAATTGGAAGAATTAAAAGATTTGCCCCAGTTCAAGTTATACATTTAGGTTTCAGCAGTCACTGGACTGTAATCGCAAATAAATCATTTCTCTTTTGAAAATGTAAAAACCCAGGCTAAGATGACATAGAGGTGATTCAATTACACATACTAACTTGAAATGTGGGAAACCATCAGAGAATTACTGTGAAATGCTTTTTATTCAAGCATGCTATACTGCAAACCTACTTCAGTGTAGAATAAAAGTGGTGATCCCCGCCCCCGGTGAGGCTCAACAGCTGAGCGTCCACCCTGGAACCAGGAGGTCGCGGGTTTGATTCCTGGTCCGGGCAGGAGCCCTGATCCCCAGTGGGGATGCGTGCAGGAGACAGCCACCGATGTTTCTACCTCCCCGTCCCTCTCCCTTCCTCTCTCAAAATAAATAAAAACATTTTTTAAAGTGGTGAGATTACGGGCACCTGGAGAATCTATATTTTTAAACTGAAGGTTAACGTGTATATATATAGTCTGGCAAATATTACCGGGAGCAGAGGACGTGACTATTTAAAATCCAACTATTCCCAAGTATTTTTTAGAACCGGTCAGCAAAGATCATTACAGGGCAAAACACCTGAAAGTTAAGATCACTAAGAAATCTTCATTCACTCCTCCCTCTGTTCTCTGAACTAATCCCTACAGCAGCCAAAAAAAAAGTTACATTCCTTTCTACCTTTATCAGATTAAGATTCTTCTTCACAGGCAGATCTTCATGCCCAAGGACATATAACACCAAGGAAAATACATTAAGTGTCCATAAGCACCAAAAAGCTAAACGTTCGGCACAAGAAGGGATTCCACACATGAGAAAACACCTGACAGCCTCTTCCCTACCTATTCCCCACCCCCCTCCAAAAAAAGGCCATTTAATCAGCTTCATAAACATTTACTGCACCAGTACACTCCGAGCGAGTGCTTCGACGGATCTCCTACCTACACCAAAGCCGAACAGGGAAACAGAATCAACCGCCCCGACGCTTTCAGGCGGTCGGGAAGATCGGGAGAATTATTAGAAACGGACGTCCGCAGGATCGGGAGTGAGAGAGGGGTAAGCAGTACACTGGAAGGTGAGTTTACACACACGCACGCACGCACGCACAACGGAAAATTAGGAAAGAAGTTGGTCGGAAGATTAGGAGGAGGCGAGGCCGACGTCCGCTTCTGAGAGGACTCCTGGCACTGCAGGTGCAGACAGCAATGAACTTAGCATGTGGAAATGCCGAAGAGTTCTACGGAAGCCCTGACTCGGGTGCAAGATGCAAAAATGTGGATACGTGGCTCCCCGAAGGAGCCCTCAAAGAAGGGTCGCAGCCCGACCCAGTCAATGGGTCCAAGGAGGCGGGCACCGGCCGGGCAACTCCACCGCGCGGAACGCAGTCGTGCGCACAGCCTCCCGGTCCGGGGCCTCGGGGTCCGCAAGCAAGAAGTCGGAGCAGCCCCTGGGGCTCCGGGCCCCCTCCTGGCCCAGCCTCTCTGTCCTCGCTTCTCACCCCCCACAGCCTGGGACCGGAGCCCTGGGAAGCTTCCGGCCGAGCGCTCCCGGCAGGCGTGGGGCAAAAGCAGCAAAATGCTCTTAGCGCTGTGAGTGACACTCACCGGCCCGAAACCTCGAATGAAACCAGCAGCTCCGGGGGCGGCGGCAGCAGTGGCAGCAGGAACCGAACATCCAAAATGGCGGCTCCCTCGGCCACACCACCGCTACGGCGGGCGGAGGGATCCTTAGGAGGAAGGGAGTGTTTCCCTAAGTTCGCACCCTACCGCAAAAACCTCGGTCCCTATCTTCCTCTCCTTGTCGACTCCGCGTCCTCTGACGGCAACTTCTCGGGCCCCCCCTCTCCTATTCTCCAAGAAAACTCGGACCCTGCCGAGGACTATTTGCCAAGGAGGAGGTGACTGCTCCTGGCAGAGCGACGCAGAGCGTAGCAAGGGTCGGGGCTGTCACTGATGACGCGAGACGCTGCTGCCGAGTCACCGCTGCGAAGAGTCTGAGCGAGAAAGATCCGGCTGACCCTGGAGCCGACGGACATTGGTTCCGCTTGGGTGGGGCGGGGCGGGGCGGGGCGGGGCGGGGCCACCAGGAAGCGACCCGGCCACCTGAAGGGGGCGGGGCTAGCAAGGTAACCTGGGAAGTGGGAGAAGCGGAGCAGGTGGGGCCCCGGAGCGCTGAGCCGGGCTGAGCCGGTCCTAATGCACGAGATTCCCAAACTCTTTCCTCTCACCTTTGAAACCTTAGCTTTCTCTTTAGGTTCAAGTCAGGAACGTGCTCCAAGGGGTCTTGGATTCTGTGGTTTTATGGTATCCTTGCAACATATTTTTAAAAATTAGAGGATGACAGAAGAATGGATTCCAAGCCCAGATACCATCGCAACCTGCATGGGACGAGTTGTTTAAACTCTTAGGGCCTCAATTTCCTCATATATCAAAAGAGCTAAAATCCTTGCAGAATGTGGGCTTTCGGACTGACTTCATGAACTAATGACCTGAGCCAAAGACAGTCTAACCAGACGGTTACTGGCTTGATAAATAATTACTAACACCTGATAACGAATATTTTCCGTGTGAACATCAAGACAACCATGATGTCTTGGCCCATTTAAAGGAAAGGTGACCTACCTAAACGAAAATCCTTCAGGTGTATTGGCAATGAAGTACCCGCCAAAGCAAATAAAGTACAGTACCTGGTTAGATGCCAGTGATAACTAAACTAACCACCAATCTGGAGTTTAGGACCTGTCATAGCCGCGCTCATTCAGGGATGTCAAAAGGTTTTACAGAAATTGAACTGAGTACAATTTTGTTCTTGCACTTACTGGGGCATGTCAAGTGGCTGGGGGGGGGGGGGAAGGCCAAGGACATAATAATAGTAATTATTTTTTATTATTAAATATTGATACCACACACTGCTTATAAAAGCGTTTTCATATGTATAATATAACTTGACCTCCCAACAATCTGAGTCAGACTAGATAAGCATATATAACTTAGTTTTACAAATAAGACTGAGGCTCAGAGAAACTGACATGCTGACTCTCCCTCTCCCGTCCCCCTGGGGTTCTGTATACCATGCCACCTTGCAAATCAGAAAAGGGTACCTGCTCTGGCTGCTGTGGGTGGCTGCTGTGGTTGGGTGTCATCCTGTGGACCAAAAGGTTGCTGGTTCGATTTCCAGTCAGGGCACATACCCAGGTAGGGGGCGTGCAGGAGGCTGCCGATCCATGTTTCTCTCTATCTCTCCCTCTCCTCTCCTCTCCTCTCTAAAAATCAATTTTTAAAAAAATCTTTTCTTTTTAAAGCTACACACCCACCCACACCCACAGGCAGGGTAGAATCCACCAAGGGCAATGGTTTGGGGAGCAGAATGCTTATGGAATTCAGTCGCCTCATACCCACTCCATGCACTAATATACAGTGCAACTCTGGATCACAAAGCTAGTAAATATGTACAGTTGTACAGCTGACTGTCAGTACCCTTCGGTTCCTCACAGGAGGATTCAACCAACCACGACTGGAAAATAGCTGGGAATAAAAATGTTATGTTGTTGCTGATGTGTACTATGTAGTCAGGCCTACAATGGTTGACTCTATAACTAAATATGTACAACTTTTTGTCATTATTCCCTAAACAATCCATCATGACAACTAGTTATATAGCATTTACATGGTATTAGGTATTATAAGTAATCTAGAGATGATTTAAACCATAAGGAAGGATATGCATAGATTATAGGCAATTACTATGCTATGTTATATATGGGATTTTAGCATCCTTGGATTTTGGTATCCATGGGGGTCCTGGAACCAATCCCCCACAGATACTGAGGGCTGACTGGTAGTGGTGTAAAATTAGAAGACCATAATTATGTCTTGACATGGTTTCCTCTGAGGTATAGCTATGCATGAACACATGTTAAAATACTAGTTTGAGACTCCCATAAAAGTAAGGATTTTGCAGGTTGCAAAGCAGTTAAAATATTCCATTTGCAAGGTCACAAAAATTTGCTTAGAAGTCAAATTTAAGTGTTACCATTGGGAACCACCAAAGAACAGTTAAACCATCTTATTGAGAAAGAGGAAGGAGCTTTTTTCTACCATTCCAAATGGAAGATAATTAAAGAGAAAGGGCAGACATTATAAAATGTAAACCTCTTCATGTATTTTTTAACATATTTATCTTTATAATTACCAAATTCCTCTTTTAATGCAACTGAAACTGAAAGCAATTGACCAAATATATAGCATAGTCATCATTATCCTGGGATCTTTAGTTTCTGAGGTTAGCAGTTGAAATTTTGGAAGATTTACTCCCCACCTACTCAAACATAATCCCTAATTTCAGATACATTTCAAATAAATTACAGCACATCAATGAAATGGAATACTATGCAGCCAATAAAAATGAAGCTATAGCTCTAACTTTATCATAAACTGACAGATACAGATTTTTTAAAACATATTACAAAATGGAATAAATGAGCTTGTAAAAAGTGTCTACTACTGTATATACATAGGAAGAATAAAACTAAAATATAAAAATGGTCATCTTTGAAGAGTAGGATTTAGAGGATTTTTACTTTATTATGTTTTGTTGTTGCAAGGAGCATACTGTGTTTTTATTTTATTTTTTTTTTCGCTAAAAGTATTACAAAGGGTATTACATAAGTGTCCTTTTTTCCCCTCCGCCCTTGACAAGCCCCTGCCCTCCCTTACCCCCCAGTGTCTTATGTCCATGTGTTTTTATTTTTTAAAATAAGACTTTTTACATTTTGGGGGGAAAGTCCTTGTAAGATAATGCAGTTTTACAGGTCTAAATGCTTAAGGAGATTTTTGTTTTTTAAACAGCAACAGCCTAAAAAAAACCAAAAAAAATTAAACAAACAAACAAAAATAAATAAGAAACAACAGCCTGAAAGAATGAAACAAATTTCCAGGGAGAGATAATGGTTAGGAGAAAAAAATCAATATTTTTATGGTTTTGTTTATTATTGATAACCTGCGCATTACAACTTAACAAATAATAACAAGCAACAAAAACAAAACTTTAGTTTTTGGCTGGGAGTTAGACCACTTGAATGCCAGTCCTGGCTGAGTATAACTAACTTTGTGCCCTGAGTAAGGTGCTTACCATCTCTGGGCTTATTTCCTCAGCTAACCAATATTTATTTATGACTAGTCCTATAGCATAGTAATTAAAAGTGTTGGTTTCTGGTGCTAGATTTTTAGGGTTTAAAACTCTGCTCTTCTTCTCTTTATTGTGTGACTTACAGCAAGTTACTTAATACTATATCTGAGCCCTTCTGAACCTCAGTGTACCCATCTGTAAATGGAGTTAATAGTAGCATTGGCATCTTAAGGCTGGTGTGATAATTAAATGAGCTGATACGCTTGAAATACTTAGAAGCGCTCAATAACTACTCGCTCTCTTTAGGATAAATATTATCACCCCCAGTTTAGACATGAGAAAACAGAAGCTCAGAGAAATTAAATGATTTGTCACACCTACATACAGCAGAGACCAGACTCCAGTCTAGACCTTTCAACTTTGAATATACCTTTTGGCCTATATAGTAATCATTCAGCAAACATGCTGCCTGACTCTTTCCACTACACCACACTGTCCTGGGGTTTCAGAATCTGTAATGGACATTTCAAAAGAGACTGTCCCTACTCTCCAGATAATGATGATCTCATTGAAGAAAACTAGATTTTTTAAAAATCCTCAAATACAAAACAAAGTCAATGATATTATTACTCAGTAGATAAATCCTAGTTCCAAAAAAAAAAGCAGAAAGGTGAGAGATCAATGACTAGGAGCCAGAGCAGTGAAAAAGGGCTTTTGAGAGACATGACATGCAGTTGGAATATGCGGTACTGGAGGGGGGAGGGAGGGACCCTTAAATGGCTGAGTATCATCAACGGAAGCCATTTGACCTTTACAGCTGATGAGGAAAGCCCTCCCTGCAGAAATATGGTCAACGTCTTTCACAGGGAACTCCTCCTACTCTCCATGTGCCAGAAACCTCAGCCAAGAAAGGAGAGTGAAGAGGCGACACAATTCCTGTAGGAAATACAGGGGCATAAGTCCAAGAGGCAGTTCCACTGGCCTGTTTTGTTATGGTCTGAATCGCCCGAAGCTCTAAATAAGCCTGAAAGTCAGAGAGAAATGAGTCCCTCTGTTGTGTATGTAATGCTCTTGCAAATGGGATTTTTACAGTTATTTTTAGCATGGTGCCTAATCGCAATTTATCCTGGCCTGAGAAAAGGGTTGAGGAATTAATCCTTCAGTTATGACAAAAGCCAGAAGTGAAGTAAAAAATTAAAATGCCGCCCTGGCCGGTTTTGCTCAGTGGATAGAGCGTCGGCCTGCAGACGCTCAGGGTTCCAGGTTCGATTCCAGTCAAGGGCATGTACCTTCGTTGCTGGCACATCCCCAGGAGGGGGTGTGCAGAAGGCAGCTGATCGATGTTTCTCTCTCATCGGTGTTTCAAACTCTCTATCCCTCTCCTTTCCTCTCTATAAAAAATCAATAAAATATTTTTAAAATTTCTAAAAATTAAAATGCCATACACTCTTTGACCTCCTACCAAGAACATTAGGAAATCTACTACATGTTCCTTCAGAGTAAAGGCCAAAGCCCAGAGGATATCAGGCTCAACCAATCACTTTCTTTGCTTCAGAGATATTTTAAAAGAGGCAGCCCAAAGTGCCACCTGAGATGTTTTGCATCATATGCATGTTATATTTGCATGTGGAGTAGTTAGACTTTGTTTGTAAATGAGTCTGTAAATGAGTCTGTATGATCCTGAAAGGGTCATAAATTGCTTTTGTTCTCCTCTTTAAAAATTTTTATTGATTGATTTTAAAGATAAAGAGAGGAAGGAAGAGAGAGAAACATTAATTTGTTGTTCCACTTATTTACGCATTCATTGGTTCGTTCTTGTATATGCTCTGACCAGGGATTGAACCCTTAACCTTGGGGTATCAGGGAAAACTCTCTAACCAACTGAGCTACCCGGCCAGGGCCACTTTTGTTTTCCTTTAGGTGCAGAGCCCCATCCTTGTTTCTTTAAAATAGTCAGGCGGGCAAGTTGCTTTAAAATTAGCCTGGGAAGTCCAAAAGGTGTCAGGACAGGTTACTAACTGGGGCCGCCAATTCCTGGTACCCAGTTCAGAGAACAACAAACTGCTTCTCCAACCGGTGCCGGGGTGAGGCGTTTACTCCTAGGTGTTTACTAGGAGAGGCAGCCAGCTTGCGGTGCAGGTCAGTCCCTGGCCTTGGATTTCAAAGATCCTTCTAAATCGGTCAGGGCCAACCCAGTACTCTTTGAATAAACTTGTTTTTTATCAGAGAGGAAAATCCTAGAATGAAACATTCAAGACAAAACTGATTTTTTGAAAGAGAGAATATGTATTCAGGTATCGCTCCTTTCGCATGCCAAAGGGGCAGTGTAAACTCTTCTGGGCACATAACCGAGGATCCTGAAATGAAGATTCTGCATCACCAATAATCGCATTTAAAAATTAATTTATCTTTTTTCTTCTTTTTCTTTTGAGATTTGATGATTGTTCTTATGCATTTGTTCCTCTTAGAAAAGTCTCATTTTTGACTGGAGTCGGACTTAGAGGTAGAAGCTCTCAGAGAGGACTCGAGGCAAATCTTTTCTTTGGCCTCCTTCGTTCTCTTCAGCCTTTCTGTGGCCTCTTCCTTCTTTTTCTTAGGATGTTGTTTCTGCAGAGCAACACGCTGACATTTATGCTGCAGGACATTGGGAGTCACAAGACACTGAATTTGGGTGCTTTGGTCTGAGGTTTCTTACCTTCTTCTTCTTTTTTACTATGATGTTTTTAATTGATTTTTTTAGAAGAGGAAAGGGAGAGGGAAAGAGAGAAACATCCATGAGAGAGAACCATCGATTGGCTGCCTCCTGCACGCCCCCCACTGAGGATCGAGCCCACAACCCAGGCATGTGCTCTGACCAGAATAGAACCCTCCACCTCTCAGTGCATGGGTCGATGTTCCACCAACTGAGCCACACTGGCCAGGGCCTTACCTTCTTTGTTTAGGGGCTGTCTCTCAACATATAGGCAGACATCATCTTCTTTAGAGAGATTGAAAAGTTTCCGGATTCTGCGAGCTCTTATGGGCCCCAGGCGACATGAGATCAGGAACATCTTTCTCCCCTTTTTTAAACAATGACCAAGCTGAGAACACTGAGTTTGGCATCTGCAACGTAGCCCTGAACAGATCTGCACTTTCTCTCTCTCCAGTCCTCCTGGGTCTATAACAGGAACAGCCCTTAGCAGCAGGCAGACACAGCCGTGGGTCAAGACACCCTGCTTCCTGGGGAAACCTGGTTTGTCATTCCCACCACTGCTTTGAATCACATAACCCTTTCATTCTTCACCCAGAGCATCAGCAGCAACTTCTTTCTTTTTATTTTATTTTAATTTTTAAATATTTTTTTATTGATTTCAGAGAGGAAGGGAGAGGGAGAGAGAGAGAGAAACATCAATGATGAGAGAGAATCATGGATCGGCTGCCTCCTGCACACCCCACACTGGGGATTGAGCCCACCACCCGGGCATGTGCCCTGACCCAGAATTGAACCGTGACCTCCTGGTTCATAGGTCAACACTCAACTATCAAGCCACTCCAACGGGCAGCAGCAACCTCTGTGGCCATACGCTTCTCATAAAAGGTACAAAGTTTGTGTTCATCATCCACTTCCATGAGTTTCTGGCAGCCAGTGGCTGGAAAGAGAGAGATGTTCAGCTTCTTCCTGAAGCAGCCAACCTTGGCATTTTTCTAAGAACCTAAAACTGCTCTAAAAAAAAAAGTCTCTTGAAAAGAAAAACAAATGAACAAAAAATACCAGTTACACAAGAAACAAACAAAAATATAATTAATTTTGCCATCTTGTTTTCTCAGCTTCTCCTTTACCCAGTCTCATAGAATCATTAATATATAGTCCAATAGAACTTAGCAGGGAATAAAAACTAGAAAGAAAATTAATGTTTATTGAGAACCAACTGAGTGCTAAAAGGCTTTACATAGGTTATTTCTTTTAATCGTCATTATTTCCCCCATTTTATAGATGAGGAAAAGAAAGCTTACAGCTAGTAAGTGTCAGATTCAAAATTTTAACCGCGGCATACAGGATTCCACTGATTTCCAGAAAACCCTTTTCTTATTCACTCTAGTGTTTGCACATTCCTTAGGATACTCATTTTTTTTAAAGACACGCATTCCTCCAGTTCTTTAGCTCTCTCATGCACATCTGACAAGAGAAGGTATCATTTACCAAAAGTCTTGTTTATAGCTAGTAAGTACAGGGATGAGATTTAAATACACACCCTTCTGCCTCCCTGGGAAAAACAATAATTACGCGAGAAATAAGAATCTCAGAGAAAATGAAAGTTTATTGGCTATTATTAATAAAATTCTGTAGGTCAGGAATCTTCATCTAAGAATTACAGAATTTTAAGGAACGGAATTACAAAATCTTAGAATTCCATAGAATTTTAGAACTTTAAGAAACAGGAATAATTATATGATTATATGTATATGCGCACAGAGACATACACACACATTATTACAGACAGAGAACCATAGAATTTAAGGAATGGAAGAAATTGTAAATGAGAAAACTTCAGAATGGAAGAAATTGTAAATGAGAAAACTTCAGACCCACACATCGGTGGCCATATTAAAATTTGTGCCCAAGGGTTCTAATTCCCAGGCAAGTACTCAATCCAGGATTAAGGAATTATGTGGTTTTCTTCAGCATTTCAAGTCTCCGGTCAAGATCTTCAAAGTCAATTTCCTCAGAGTCATAAGGGTCAATGGAAAGACTTGCTTGAGGTTTTATATCAGGCAAATCAGGCAGCATAAAGTTATCAAAACCAATCTTGGTTCTTGATGCTGGCTTTGGAGAAGTTTGAGGGTTGAATCCCGGACCTGTTCATTTCAAAAAATGTAATTAAAAGTCACAACAATATGTCCCCCAGAATGAAATCCCAGCCTCAAAGACTATTAATGCTTTTGAAAGAACAGTATATAATAGGCTGGAAAACTAGACAATTTCCCCAAGATGGAAATGGTGGTAATGGTTACACTGTGTTGGCAATCTTCTTCAAGGGCAATTGGAATTTTTTTTAAAGGCACAGTTATTCAAAACATGTGACAAGATGAACTAGTACAGTAGTGGTTTTAAAACTTTATCTGTATTAAAGATCTGTTTGAGATCCATATCCACTTTGAAAATTGTTAACTATTATCAGGGAACATTCTGTACTCCGGGTAAATCACTAATAAACTTCTCTCACCAATGGAGGAATGACAGTCTTATAACAACTGAAATAGCTTCCATGACTATCGAGCAATTCCAACTACTACCAGGATTCCTTATACTTACCAGGAACCAGTATAGGACGCAAATCATTCGTAAAGGAGTCATTCTGAAAGAAAAGAAAGATCACTGGGAAGCAACTGGTTTGAGTTCCAAACACATATTTTGTTCATAGTAAGCCTTCAATAACTATTTCTTAAAATTAACTGAAGTGAACTTTATCACAATCACGCTGCCTTCTCGTTTGAGGCAAAGTGTATGGATGCCTTCTGGCAATCAGCCTTAGGAGTGACTATGGTTTTTGCTTCTTCTGTCACCTGTGGCCTCGTACAAGAACGGGGAAGTCTTTTATCTTCCAGTCTAGAAATGCTGCTTGTGAAGAATGATTCAGTTTAATAAAATCAGAGGATTCTTTCTCCAACAAATAAATAGCACCAAAAAAAAGGGGGGGGTGGGGAAAAGGAAGTATTAGAGATTAAAGAATTAAAGAGACATCAACTGAACATAATGTGTGGATCTTTTTGGATCTTGATTTCAACAAAATAACTGTAAAAATGCATTTTTGAGGCAATCAGAGAAATTTAATATGGGTTGAGTATTATATGATATTAAGGAATTGTTTTTCAATGTGTTAGCTTTCATAATGACATTGTTTTATATTATAAAAACAAAGGGTTCATGTTAGAAACATATATTGAAGTATTTACAGGTAAAATTATGTAATGCCTAAGATTTGCTTTAAATTCCTTCTCTCTTAGGAAGAAATAGGTAGATGAAATAAGAGCAGCAGAATGTTGATAACTATGGAAAATGAGTGATGAGTACACAAAAGTTCAGTATATTGTTCTCTCTAATTATGAATATGTTTAAATTTCCATAAAGTTTTCTTTTTTTTTTTTTACAGAAATGTTATTCTTAAAAATACAGCTAAAGAGGACAGAGCTGCGTTTAATTTATAATAAGATTTCCAATACATGCACTTATTATTTTAGGCTAATTTTCCCAACCCCCAACTTTTGTGATACTGTCCTATTACCACACAGTGTCAAAAATCAAATAAACACATTAGTAGAATATTTAGCATCATTATTAGCAGTATCTGGTAGTTACACTGTCCTAGGATAGAATGAACCACCTCAGTAGCTTCTGAGGCTAATACATTTCTATCACCACAATTACTTTAGCAAACCTGGTTGCCTTCATTTCTGCAACATCATGCAGAGTTAGTGATTCTTCTTTTTATTCTTAAATCAGAGGACTTGTGCCCTGGGTGGTGTTGCCAAGTGGTTAGGCCCACAAACCGAAGGGTTGCAGGTTCGATCCCCAGCTGAGGCTTGTGTGAGAGGCAACCAATCCACGTGTCTCTCTCACATGGATGTTTCTCTCTCTCTCCCTCTCTCACTCTCTCTCCCCTTCCCCCCTCCCTTCCTCCCTCCCTCCCACTCTTTCTAAAACTCAAAGGAAAAAATATTCTTGGGTGAGATTTAACACACATACACACACACACACACACACACACAAAACCAGAGGACTTGCACTCCAAAAGTAGAAGCTGAACAATACACAAGGTGTTAATTCAGACAAATAATTTCAACAAGGAGTTTATGCCTAAAATATAAAATCTCAAAAACAGCTCCATGGGGCCAGATATGAATAATAAAACAATTTCTTTTTACTTCACCCTGAAGGAACAAAGAGGGAAGAAAATGAATGCCTGTGGCTCTTTACTTTTTACGTATTTGACTTCTCTAAATTTGTATATACACCCAGTTATGAGATTTTTATCCTATTTTCATGAGAGTAAACTGTTTTCACTACATATAAATTGAATACATCTCATCTGAAATTTGAGTCTAAATCACTGTACATGAAAGACTCTCACATTTGTCGAGCTCGTACAAATGTTCTTTGCAGTCTATACCGTGGTATTGTCCAGAGGTTGATGAAAGGCTGTATGTGGCCCTATTTTCTCATGAATTTCAGCACAAAAAAACACGTTAAATATAAGCTAAATAATTGCCTTAAAAAAACCTCACAAAGATCATTTTACCACTCAAAAGGCCCATTTAGAAATAGACGCTAGCAGTACTGACAGTCTCATTTCAGATTCAACTTCCTTAGCCGTACTGACCTGTGTTTCAGGAGGAAGGGATGAGAAACAAGGGACCGGGGACGGCACAGGTAAAGGCTCTGGCGCAGATATTGGTGATGCCCAAACTGGATGCCCAGGTCCTGCTACAGTTCCCCCTCCGCCGTCAAGGGCGCCTTTCTTGACCTCCTCGGTAAGTCCAACACTAACCTGGTCTGCTGGGGCTTCAGCCTGAAGCAAGGGGGCGAGAATAATATCAGGTCTTCGATTTATTACACCTTTGTTTATTGCATACCTACTACAGGCCAAACTCCTTGGAAAACACTGGGGAAGAAACAGTGAGCAAAGAGACATGGTTCCTGCCCTCAGGAAACAGAATCTAGTGTAAGTCAGGGACAGTGACAGCAACCTCAGGCTTTCTGGCAGACACGCTTCTCCTTTCCCTCTGTTTCAATGACTGTGTTCTGAGTACCTATGAGGTCAGACACTGTGGTCCACCAGTGATGCAGAGCTGAGCATAAATATGCATCCTGATGTCTACGAGGAAGTGCAGCAAATCTTATCAGGGGTAAACTCTTATAAACCAGGCACAGTTCTGGGGATGCCACGATGAACGCAACAGACGAACGTCCCTGCCCTCCTGGAGCTGATGATATTCCAATGGGAGAGACAGATAATAAACAAGATCACTGTGTTAGATAAAGACAGGAGTGATAGAGAAAAAATATAAAGCAGGGGAGAGGGAAGAGGTGGACATTTTAGAGAAGGTAGCTAATAAGGGCCTCACACTGAGAGTGGGTGTGGGCAGCCTCTTCAGTCCTAGGAAAGCCATTGTCTATTATTCTAAGTGAAAGAAAAAGTCACTGGGTGGGGAGGACTTAAAAGCAGAGGTGTGACATCATCTGACTTGGGTATTAACCAGATCTCTGAAGGCTGTATTGAACATCCATTACTGAGGAAGGGGAGTAGAGAAGCAGGAAAACCAGTTAAGAGCCTCTTGCAATCATCCAGGGAATAGGTTAGTGCAGGTTAGCCCAGGATACTGTCAGTGGAGATGGTGAGAAGGGGCAGGATGCTGCCTATATTTAGAAGGTTGAATAACCAGGACTTGCTGAAGATTGGTTGGGGGCTAGCAGTTGAGAGAAAGGGGGGAGTCAAGAGATATCAAGATTTTTTGCCCTAGCCTAGAATCCCCATGCACTGCAGAGTGAATGGGTTCTTGGAAGGGGTAAGTCTTACCCGGTAAGAGTACATGTTAAGTTTGAGATGCCTCTGAAATATTCAAGTAAAGGTATTTATATCAGGAAAGTGGGTGGATATATGAGGATGGAGTTCATACCAGCCTAGAGGCCTTAGCTAGTGATATACTAGTATGACTAGAAGTCCTCACCATTAAGATGGTATTGAAAACCAGGATGTTACGGCCCCTGAGAGGTTGAAACAGCCACTGTGAG